ATTTATTTTTGAGAGACAGAGACAGAGCACGAGCAGGAGAGGGAGACACAGAACCCGAAACAGGCTCCAGGCTCCAAGCTGTCAGCACAGAGCCCAACACGGGGCTCAAACTCAACAAATTGCAAGATCATGACCTGAGCCAAAGTCAGATGCTCAACCTACTGAACCACCCAGGCGCCCCTCCATCCCCTCACTTTCAATCTGCCAGGTGTCATTTCAGTCTGAAATGAGTCTGCAGGCAGCATATAGATTTTTTTTTAATCCATTCTGATAATGTCTTTTGATTGGAGTGTTTATTCCATTTATATTCAAAGTAATTATCGATAGATATGTATTTAGTGCTGTCTTATTACTTGTTTCAGTGTTTCTGGAGATTTTTCTGATCCTCTCTTGTCTTTGTCACTTTTGGTCTTTCCACTCAGAGTCCTCTTTAATATTTCTTGCAGAGCTGGTTTAGTGGTCACGAACTCCTTTTGATTTTGTTTGGGAAACTCTTGCTATCTCTCCTTTTATTCTGAATGATAGCCTTGCTGGGTAGAGAATTCTTGGCTGCCGATTGTTCTCATTCACAGTATATCCTTTCTGGCCTGCCAAGTTTCTGTTGAGAAATCTCCAACTAGCCTTTTGTGTTTTCCCTTGTAAGCTAGGGACATCTTTTGTCTTGGTGCCTTTAAGATTTTTTTCTTTATCTCTGTATCTTGCAAATTTAACTACAATATGTCTTGATGTTGGCCTGCTTTTGTTGATTTTGAGGGGAGTTCTCTGTGCTTCCTGGATATGGACATCTGGTTCCTTTCCCAGATTAGGGAAGTTTTCAGCTGTTCCTTCCTCAAATAAATTTTCTGCCCCTTTTCTCTCTTCTTTGGGGACTCTTATAATGTGAATGTTTTTATGTTTGATGGAGTCACTGAATCCCCTAAATCTATTTTGTTCATCTTCATGATTTTCCATTATTTAGTCTTCTTTGTCACTAATTCGTTCCTTTGTTTATTCCAGCCTTGTGTTCATTGCATCAAGCCTGTTTCCTATCTCAGTTTTTACATTCTTTGTCTCCAGTTGATTCTTTTTTTAACTCTTTTATCTCTGTGGTAAGGGTCTCCCTGATACCTTTTTTTCTCAAGCCCAGTGAGTATCCTTATGATTGTTGCTTTGAATTCTCCATCAGGTAGGTATGTGACTTAGATCTGTTTTGCTTAGATATCTGGCCGTGGCCTTATCTTGTTTTGTCGTTTGGGATGAATTCCTGTGAGAGAGGGTGGGATTTTTATCAGTGTGGGTCCCTTTTCACTCTTTAACTTGCTGTCTCTTGAGTTCTACCAGATTTTGTCTAGATTCTGTCTCTGTAGGGAGTAATCTTTCTGTTGCTGTAAGTTGCTGGGCATTGTTGACCCTTTCCAGCTATGTGAGCCCATGAAAGCATTGCTTCCAGTCAGAGTAGCCCATATTTATCCAAAGACGCTTACCTCCCACCTGAACTCCTATCCCCGTTCTCCTCTCTGTCTTCTTCAGCCAAGGGACTGGACACCCACAGAATGACTTCTAGCCTGTTAAAGCAAGTTGCTTTGATAATTTTTCAATAAAAATACATCATTGCCTTTCTCCCGGGATCTTAGGTTTATAAATTATATTATTCTGAGTTTATTTTCTTGAAGTCAAAGAATCTGATAAAAATCTGTCCTCAAATACCATGTTTTTCCGTAGTGATTATAAAATATAAAGTGAGTAAATCAAGTTTTCAGATAACTGAAGCCCCTTCTGCCTTGTTTAACCATTTTCAATGGAAATCTGTGTAAAATTCTTACATAAGTGTCAGAGAGTTCAAAGTGACATTTTTTGGTTTATTTCTTTCACTATCTTGTTTATAATTTAGAGGATAGGCTCTCCTGTAATAACCCAGACCTTGTCTGGAAAGGACTAAGGTCAGGGGCTATACTCAGGCTATTGTGATATTCTACCGGTGGGGTCAAGTTGTTTCACAGTGCTCTCTCTTGTCTGTCACCGTCTCCATGCTTTCCTCAGCTGCACGCTTGTGTCCACCTGGTCGGCTGACTGTGGGCCAGGAAGTGGACAGTCTGGGAATCTCAGAGAAGTGGCTGTACGGCCAATGACAGCCTCAGGAGGGTTGAGCTTCACAGCTGTGCTCCTGATGGTTGCTGCTGCCTAACAAATGATCTTTGACTAGGTGACGAAGTGTTGTGATGGTTGGATGACCTGTGTTGTTTTCAGGCAGAGGGGGAAATCAGAACGCTAGGGAACGGATTGTTTGCCTTACTTTTCTGCTGCGTGTCTTCGTATCTTACAGTCTGAGCTTCCGCAGCATGACAGTGTTGTTCTCTTTCAGAGGAGTCAAACTCAGTCTCCAACGCCACCAAAGCCCCCGTCCCCGAGCTTTGAATTAGGACTGTCCAACTTCCCTCCGCTGCCAGGAGCGGCAGGCCACCTGAAGACTGAGGACCTGTTTGAAAACAGGCTGTCTAGCTTCTTAATTGGATCATCAAAAGAAAGGGTAAGATCCGTATTGCTGATGTTTGCTTAGTGCTGAGTTTCAGTCCAGTGCTTCTCCAGGTTCTTCACACAGGCAGGTGTGTGCATGTGGAAGAGCTTCAGAGAGGGTAAGTGATTTGTGGAGGCCACATGGATTTGGAGTAATCGGGTCAGAGTTGAACGTACAACCAGACCCTCTCAGTGCATTCCCTCGCTGCCTGCCAAGGTCAGAGGTGGAAACCTGTGTCGTGTGCCACACAGACTCTCTCTCTCGCTGCAGACTCAGATTGCACTTTTATTGTTGTTATTCAGGACCTGACTTTATTTTACAAGTCCACAAGATAAAACAAAAACCTGAATTATAACAGAAGTGATATAGTTTTTAGTAATCGACATCACTAAGGAGAAGCCGAGAATGATTTTACTGTAATTCCGGTGGCTTTGGCCAGCTCCACGGGCTACCACACCAGTCGCCCTCACTCTTCTGTACTGTTTGCAGGCCCAAGAATGAGGGGAGCTACCGAAGTCAGAGAGTGTTAGTCTGCAGTGCTCCTTCTGGGTTCTTCGATTGTTAATGAGGTTTGGAGGGTCTGTGCTGGGAGTGATGTGCGGTGCCTGGGTGAGCGCTTAGCCGGGTCGAGGCAGGAACAGCTGTCAAGTTGCCATGGTAGCATTTGTCCTCTTGCTGGCTCTCCACCAGTCTCGTTGTGTCTTTTTCCAATGGAAATCTCCCCACCTACTGCCTCAGACGGAAGGCCTCTGGATTGGGGCAGGCACCGCTTTGCAGCCACGTCCAGACTGTGGACACTTGCAGGGCCACCACAGAGTCCCTCAGTTACCAGGCCAGGGCTCAGGGCAGGATTTATAGAGCCCCATGTTCAGTGCTTGTCCTGTTGCTGCATGATAACTGCTCCTATTTTTTTTCCCCTGAATGTTTATAGTATTTATATATATGTATTTTAAATATTTATTTTATTTTTGAGAAAGAGAGAGACCATATGGGCAAGGGGCAGAGAGACAGAGATGGGATCCGATATGGGCTTTGCACTGACAGCAGCCAGCCCAATGAGGGGCTTGATCCCATGAACCGTGAGATCATGACCTAAGCTGAAATGAAGAGTTGGATGTGGAACTGATTGAGCCACCCAGGCACCCCTGTATCATTTATTTTTTGAAGAAAGAATGGCTAATTGTAAAAAGTCTTGGCCGGGGGCCACACCCAGGTGGAGCCCCTGCAGCGTCCCTCTCTGTGCCCTGGTGCCTGTGTGTGAGAGCAGTGGGGACTCTGGCAGGGGCCGCAGCACTGCCCTGCTCACCTTGCCCCCCCCACATGCTCTCAGTTCAGTCCACTGCTGAACCTTTAATCTGCTATGAAAATAGAATCATAAGAAAACGTTATATTTGCGCTTAATCTCACTTCCAATTACGTACTAGTCACACAGGGGAGGGAGACTGTGCATTTGTGAAGTGTCGCTGTGTGTGGTCACTGGCTGGAGTAAGAGCATCTAGCTTTATTCACGTCTTTGCCTCATGATGGTGCACAAATTAATGTAATTGTTCCAAACCTTGGTTTCCTCGCCTGTTCAATTGGGAATTCACACACCTCCTTCCCGGGGACGGTTTGTGCATTCGAGCGGGAAGTGTGCCCACACCCACCTCTCACCACAAGGCCCTCAGACTTCTATCTGTACTGAAGTGTTGATTTTCTTGGTTTTAGTTACAAAAATGAGCCATGTGGGAATTAGGTAGGAACTTGAGTGTTCATCATGTGCCAGGCTGTGCTAGGCACCGGCGTGTCAGGAATAGGATGCCTCTGATATTTATTCCTTGGAGAAAAGGAGCTTGTGGAGAAGCAGAAGCCCAAGGGTGGCCCATGTCACAGGAGTGAAGAGGTGTTTGTGGGCAGAGCGGGGGCTCCCTGGAGGACAGGGCTTTGCTTCTTTGGCTGCTGGATGGCGGTGTCTTCCAGCCGCTCCCCTGTGTGGAGGCTGTATGTTCAGCTCAGGTGGAATGACCCTGGGTCCTGGGGAGGAAGGCAGCAAGCCTCCTTGTCATTCAGACCAGGAACTGTTACTGGCATTTTAAGGTCATTCTGAGAGATCTGTGAGGGCTTCTTCTCCACCCAATTTAAACTTCATCCCTTGGTTTTCAGGGCCTGAATGCGGATGCAAGCACGAACACGCTCCCTGCAGTGAGCCCCAGAGAGCCCTTAGCGCCAGCTGCCTGCACCCTGTCTGCAGCCTATGGGCGCTCCCCCTCCCCCTCCCACCTGCCTGAGTAAGTACCACCTGCCGCCAAGCCTCCATGCCGTCAGATGCCCTTGCCTGGCGTGTGTGGGAGATTCACACCGTGGGTGGCGTTTTTGCAGGGATCCCAAGGTGGTGGAGAAGCAGAGGGAGACCTCGAATGTGGACAGACTTCCTTCTGCCCTCACTACAACAGCGAGTAAATCGGTGCAAGTGAATGGCGCTGCCACGGTATGTTGATGTGGGAAGAAGATGGTTCCTTTCCTGCATCTTGTCTGTCTTATCCAGCTTATCTGCCGTGAAGTCTGATTTGTGCTTTCTGTACCAAATACCTTGTGTATTGGCTACTAACTTTCAACCAGGTGTCCTGCTTCTTTCTCATTGCCACTGTCCCGGGACCTTTCTGTTTCTCTGTTGGTTGAGTGAGGTTGTCTGCAAGTCTCTGGACCGTTGCCCCGCCTTCTCTGTGGATTCTGCTCACTCAGACCGGTGCTGTCGCAGCAGACACCAAGCAGAAGCACGGCCGCCGCTACCCCCGCCCAGGGCAGCTCTGTCCTGGCCACGGGCCCCTGCAGCTCCTCTCCCTGCTGCTTTGCCCTTGGTGCGCTCGCCCTGTTTGTTCTGATCTGTGTTGTCCTCAGTGTGATCTTGGGTGAACTTCTGCCATTGACGTTTGGGAGTTAAATCCTTAGGTCTACAGGGTTGAATCTTTAAAGAAAAAATTTTTACAGATTGTAATTATTTTTAAGTTAGTAAATGGCTTATGGACGTGAAATAGTTTTAAGTTTCTTTTCTACTATTTAGCCTTCAAAAGCTGAAATATTAACTTTTTTTAAAAAGTTTTTTTTTTTAACTTTATTTATTTTGAGAGATAAGAGAGTGAGCTGGGGGAAGGGCAGAGAGGAGGAGAGCGAATCCCAGGCGGGCCCCACGTTCCTGATGCGGGGCTCAATCCCATGACCCTGGGCTCACGACCTGAGCCAAAAGAGCCAAAATCAGGAGTCTGACGCTCAACTGACTGAGCCACCCAGACTCCCCTTTCTAGAAAGGTTTTTTTTTTTTTTTTTTTTTTGTAATTTACAAAGCAATTTAATAAGTTGAGAGGCAGCATTTAGTGAATTAAATAATATAGGGAGTTTTGGATCTGTAATTGATATACATTCTATTAAAAAAAGGAAACACTTTGTATTAGGTCACCACACTGATTTATACAACATTCAAATATATAAAAACACGAGGAAGTAAGTTCCTTTGTGACCCCAACTGAGGTATCTTTTCTTTAATCCTAAGACAACCAGTTTTAGAAGCTAACACTAGTAAGTTTACAGAAGTACAAAACACCAAAACAGCTTAAGCAGAGACACTTTATTTTTAAGAAAAGTGTGTTTTCTCATTTTCTATTCTTGGCATAAATTTTAATTTTTCCCAATAGAACCCAAATCTCCTGAACCCCTTTCAGTGTCATCCAAAACCTGAACTTCCTCTATTTCTGGATAAAAAAATCTGTTCACAAATGAGCCGTGCAATTCGATCACCCTTTCTTAAACTTTTCTTTGCCAAAATTAAAAAAAAATTTTTTTTTAACGTTTATTCATTTTTGAGAGACAGAGACAGAGCATGAGCGGGGAAGGGGCAGAGAGAGGGAGACGCAGAATCCAAAACAGGTTCCAGGCTCTGAGCTGTCAGCACAGAGCCCGATGCGGGGCTCAAACTCACAGACTGGGAGATCCTGACCTGAACCAAAGTCGGACACTCAACCGACCGAGCCACCCAGGCGCCCCTTCTTTGCCAAAATTTAGTACAACACCCACATTTCCTCTATAATCTTCACCTATGATGCCAGCTCCTACATCTATGAGGTGTTTCGCAGCCAAGCCAGAACAGGGAGCTCCTCTTCCATAGCACCCAGAAGGAAGAGCTATCCGAATGTCCCATTTTCACAAGGGCTTTTTCCATAGGTGGTACTGTGTGATCATAGGCATTGTACAGGTCGTAGCCCACGGCCCGCACGGACCGCTTGCTCGGGGCGGTGGCGGGCTCCGAAAGCCAGACAAAGCAGAGCCGCGTGGCGTCCTCCGCAGGCCGAGCCCACTTGCTGGGGGAGATGGTGGGTGTCGCTTCAGAGCAGGGCATGGCAGAGCAGAACGAGAGAAAAGACAGCCGCCAAGGGAACAAGCGGACGCCTCTAGAAAGTTTTTAACTCTGTCTTCACCTTTCCTGAATCCAAATCCACACCACCACCCTCTGGTAGTTTGAAATGGGCACAGACGTTATTTGACGTTCCTTGGTGAGTGATGGGCTGCATCACTTACAGGTGTTCCAGGAAGCCCGTGCCATGCGCAGTGCCATGCTTGGAAGGAAACGTGGGCAGAGAAAGCAGGTGCTGCTCCTGCCTGTTTCCAGGGGCACCGTTTCTCACACCCCCTTGGAGGCTTCCGTATGGCGAGAGAGTGTGCAGAGGCCAGTACTATGTGTCTGAGCACCTTTTCTAGTTTTACCCATTTTTACAGGATATTTCTAGAGTGTCTCGGAGGGAACCCTGTGTTGCGGGAAAATAGAAGTTGTTGACGTTTATGAACCTTTACCAGTGACAGTACTTTTGAATGTGGAATTTGGCTACTGCTGAAAGCTTTGTTCACCTTTACCTGAAGTAGACTTTATTTTCACATGTTTGGAGACGTCATTTTGTGCGTTGTTGTGCCTGTTTCCCAGGAATTGCGAAAACCCAGCTATGCGGAAATTTGTCAGAGGACGAGTAGAGAGCCTCCGTCTTCCCCGTTGCAGCCCCCGAAAGAACAGAAGCCAAATGCTGTTGGTTGTGGGAAGGAAGAAAAGAAGCTCGCCGAGAGAGAGCCCTGTGCCCCCAAGTCCAACCCGGGACCACCCAAAGACCAGAGGAGGCCGCCAGGCCGCCGGCCCTCGCCCCCAGCGGCCGGGAAGCGTCCACACAGAGAACAGAGCACCCCTCCCAAGTCCCCTCAGTGAGCGCCGAGGTCTGGGAGGGCTGTGAGGAACTGAGGTCGCCACAACTCAGCACTGTCCCACTCGGGGCCGAGAGTGAGCCGCTGGTTAGGAGCTTGCAGCGTAGACGGGCCGCTGAGGTGCCTGCAAGTGGTGTTTCTTCCGTGAGTCGGATTTTCCCCCCTCTTGAAAAAAAATCTATTTTTCAGGATTTAATTAATATAAACCTTATTTTAGGTTGGTGCTTAACTGGAGGTGATGCATAAGTCTGATTTTTTTCAGGATAGTAAATGCATTTATCCTAACAAATTGATATTTTTATTAAGCCTCCATGTGGCTATGAATGCAAGCTCTATATATAGTGAGTTTTTCTAAATTAAGCGGAACTATGCTACTTCATTTTTTAAAATAACTGGTTAGCAAGTGCATATCTCTGAGATGTCCAGACCGACGGGTGGGCTGCAGACGGCTGGGATCGAGGTTGGAGGCAACACAGTCAGTGTGGCCTGGAGAAGGGGTGGGGTCAGGTGGTGCCCTCGCTGGCATGGGAGTTGTACTTCATTCAGAATCTTAGCAAGTGACGCTAGCAGTTGTTTGGGTTTTGTTTTTTTTTTCTGTTTTTTTTTGTTTTGGCTTTTTTGTTTTTTTTAAGTATAGCCTGTTTTTGACCTACTGGGCAAGATGCACCCAAGAGAGCCCTGAAACCGTGAGTTTTTATGTGCTGCAAGCAAGTAACCAGCCTCTCAATCCAGACTCCGTGGCTGTTGTGTAAGATAGAGTCAAAGCACATTGTGAATAGAACCTACATGAAAACGTAAACCTGGTTGCCCACCGACGCGTCACCGCGAAATTGTACCCTGATGTTGTCTTGCTCCTGCGAGCTGGCCCGGAGGGCTCGGGAGCCACCGTGGCTCTTGCCGTGGCTCCCGCGGCTCCCCCGCATTAGCTCTGTGGGAGCCTCCCCGTACCTCCGTGTCGGCACACAGTGGAAGTGTTACTTAAGTCGTGAGAGAGGTGTGTGCGGTGCCCGTGGTGGTGAGGCCAACAGTTCCCTCCGAGACGAGGGTCTCACTGACTCCCTTCCGGAAGTGCTGCACTCTGAAGAACACGCATGCACTAGCGCTAGCAGTGGATAATAAAGTTCAATATAAATTATTTTGTTTTAAAATGCCTAAATTCTTTCTTTAAGTATTCTAAGCAGCAGACATTAAAATATTTCCTGCTAAATGTAACCATACAGTTTATTCCACAAAATGTTATTTAACAAGACTGAGGTGGTTTTTTTTTTTTAAAAAATTATTTCCATCCAATATTTAAAGACTTGAATTTTATTTAAACTTGAAAATGACTTTGCCTTAACTTTTGTAGAAGACAGCTTAGAGTTGGCGGAGACCGGCCCCTGGGTGGGTGCGAGTGGGCTCCAGAGCCGCTGTCACGTGGGGCCGCCGCCGCCGGGGTTTCTGACTGAGCGCTCCGTAGTGTGGGAGCTGGGCTGGCAGCGGTGTCTGTGATGTACCCTGAAGATCTGCAACAGTTGACCTTTCTCAGATTGTTGAGAAATCCTGTAAATGCAAATAGTCGATACTGTATTAAATATGTGCACTTGGGAGTGTGTGCTTTGCTTGTACAGTTGTAAATAATCAGAACATATTAAAAAGGTACCCTAAAGAGAAAAATCTGATAAAAATTATTGATATATTATAAATGTTGCTATTGAGCTGGATGTAGATAAAACTAAATGTTGTGGTTTGAATATTATTTTAATTTGTTGAGGTGTTTTTCTTTTCCTCTTATGCTGGTGTGTTGGACTGATTCTCCTCTTTGCTGCTGCAGAAGGGAAACGGAAAGTCCTGTTAAAGCCTTCCGATGTCTTCATGCTCTTCTTAAAAGTCTGTAAATATGTACTAATCATAGCTAATGTGAAAGCATAATGTAGGAAGCAGAAACTGGCAGGATCTTCAGGAGAACGTAAAAGATAATCTACTTAAAATCATAAATAGCTACGCGCGATTCGCCCTGCCAGAGGAAATCACGCCCTGGTGAGCTTGACCGTGTCCTTCAGAGAAGCTGCCAGTACTCAGATTTTACTTAGAAAAAACAGTGCTAGTATGTTGCAGATGCCTGTAAAAGGAACATGGGGATTCGTTTTTTTGTAGTTGAGGGATTGTGGACTTAAAAAATCAGGAAGAATTGACCTCTGACACCCCAGCTAATGAGTACTGTGAGAAGAGTTGGAAAGGCGAGCCACAGGAGGTCCGCACTGAGCGGTCTTTGTTGGAGGAGGGAGCGGATGCCGTCAGCCTTCATCATCCCCGAGCCGCAGACCTGTGGAGCTGAGACACTGGTTTTCAGGAGTGCCGTGTCCTTCCCCCGGCCGGGGGGTGTGTGTGCTAGAGCCAGCTGTAGCCATCTACTGCACACGGGACGGAGGTGGTCACTCGTGACAGCAACGGGGCACGGCTAGCCAGTGTGGCGGCCGTCCCACTGCACCCACGCCTGCACCGTACTGCAGCTCTTGTCCTCGTGGCCAGAGTCTGTCGCATCCAGATTTGCAACCTCGCTCTGGTGTTATTTTTATAGCACTCTTTTTAATTAAGCAAAGATGATATGCCAAATAGCTATATTATGTCCAAAAAAGCCCATCTTTCTGAGATCCTTGTGAGATCTTACACTCACAGAAAAGGAGGGGAGCCCACACAAGGGGAGGCTGGGACGCAGCACGGGGGGCGGCTGCTCTGGCGCAAGCAGCCAGCGGTCTGAGGCTTTTGTCCGTTTCTAGAAACGTCACTCTTTCCTTTCCTCAGCAGTACCTCAGGGTGTAGAGTCAGATACGGCAATCACAAATGACGTTTTAACTTGTAAAATTGTGTGGGGATACTTCTAATTTGGAAATAGAGGGATGAGAATCTGGCCCCATTTCACCAGACATGAATTTCAAGTAGAGTAGTTGCTTTTTAAGAGTTGGTGTCCTGATGTTCCTGGTCTGGCCCTCCTGTCCCCGCATCACTGATTGTCACTAGCGGGTGGCAGGAAATGTTTCCTGTTGCTGGATTAGCCAGGAGCACAAGGTTTACATTTAAACACCGGCTCCGTTTGTTCCGAGGGCAGCGGGCGAGGAAGGTGTGCGTCTGTGCCTGCCGCCTGCGAGCTGCAGTCGTGCTCTCGTGCACTTGGTGGCCTGTCACCCGGAGCGCAGCAGACAATCCAAGTCAGGAGCAGAGCGGGATGTAATACGGAAGCTTTCTTGAGGGCTTTTGTTTTTGTTCTACTTTTCATTAAGACTGGAATCAAGCTTACATGTAAACTATTGGTAATTTAAGTTTCCTTTTGTGTCATTCAGTGTAAAACTGTCTAATTTGAAAAATGTAGGTTATGAAAAATAAAGATTTAGGCACTGTTCAATTTTTCTTTTGATTTTTTTTAATTAAAAATTTCTTCAAGAATACATCTTTTTAAGAAATAATTTTTGTGTCTTCCCATTAGTGTATATATAGAGAATGAAACATGGTTGGTTGCCTCCAACTTGTGTTTGGGTCATCATGGTGCCTCGCACACTGAGCGTCTGCAGCGTGAGGGTACCCCCAGGTGCAGTGGTTTAAGGCACTTGGGGGAGTATTAAATCCCAGATTTGCCACAAAGGTAAATACCCTATGTCGGGATCTTTTGTTTCTTGTTAAATGGCCTGTCTCCCCTGAGGTGTTCCCATAGAGTTGCTTGATGATGGGTCCTTGTGGTTCTCAAATCAGATGTGAGCCTCAGAAACAAAGTAATTGACTTATCCCTAAATACCGGTGATGCCAGCGCTGCTCAAGGCTGAATGGACGAACGTGTTAGTATATTACCGAGTTGATGCATACAGGTCTACTTAGATGTTAATGGACTGATTTTCCTCGTCTGTGAACTGCCTGTTCATATCCTTTTCCCATTTTTCTGCGGCGTTACCTTTTTCTTACTGACGTGGTGTTCTCGATCTGTTCTGGCTATTAATTCTGTCTGTTATGTATGTTACAAAATTTTCCCCTCAATCTCTACCAGTTGTCTTAACTTTTTTAGAGTATGTTTTATCTTACAGTTTTTAATTATCATGTAGTAAAATTTATCAATCTTCTCCTTTACAGTTCTAGCGTCTTGGTCTTGTTTATGAAGTATTTCCCTACTCTGCAGGCGTAAGGATAATCTGTGTGCGTGCGCGCGTGTGCATGTGTGCGTGCGCGTGCGCCCAACCTGTTTGGAATTGCTGGCCTGTGTGTGTGTGTGTGTGTATGGTCTGGGGTAAGAACCTAATTCTGCTTTCGCCATACGGAGAGTATCTTTTCTCCGTGTCACTTGTTATCCTCCATGATGTGTGATGCCAGTCTTGTTATTTAGAGAAGCCCTGCAGGTGCATGCATGTTGTCTAGGCGCTCTGTCCTTCACTGTCTATAGTTCTGTTTCTTTGCTAACACCATAGGGTTTCGTTCAGCCATCATTCGGCATTGCTAGGAATTGCTTTCATGGAACTCCTTGCAGCAGTGATTGAATGTGCTCCACGAAGGCAGAAAGTGAGCCCATCCTGACCACCTCTGTACCCTCTGTTCTTAGTACACTGTCTGCAACATAATAGATGCTCAATAAATGTCTGTTAAATTGACAAAATATTTATTGAGTATGTATTCTTTGTGCACAGCACTGGCCTAGAAAACTTGGAAGAAATAGGGCAATGAGTTGCTTTGCTGTTTCCATATAGCCCCCCAAAACCCAATGGTTTGAAATGACAATCACACATCAGGATTGGCTGATGTAGGTTCCTCCCAGTGTCTCTGCCGACCCTCGGCCATACTTGCTCACGGATGTGTGGGGGGTACACAGACCTCGTCACCACGTGCTGCTCACCTGGGCCAGCAGGCCAGCCGAGGCCTGTGCTTTCACGGCTGTGGGAGGGTGCAAGAGCTGGGCCCCAGCATTTAAGCCCTCCTTCCCCAAGAAGTTGAAGTTGTTGGATTGTGTTCCTTGGTACATCCACATCTCTTACTAACATTAAAGTC